TTGCTATGCTGATGTCGAAAATTCATAAAAATTTTTATGGCCATGTTGCTATAGTAAATTTGGTAAACTTGACCATTCTGTGGTTCCTATCTTGAAATACTTGTATTTTGTATTTAGTGATCACTGTCTCTGAAATCTGACTGGCTGATACTCTCATTAAAGAGTAGCTAAGAGGGATAGGCTAAATAACGTCCCTGTAAATACACCTACGTCTCAATCACTGGAATCTGTAAATGTTACCATATACGGCAAAAAAGGACTTTGCAATGTGATTAAATCAAGGGTCTGGAGATGGAGAGATTATCCTGGATTAGGTGGGCCCTAAATGGGATCCCATATATCCCATGCATCCTTATAAAAGGCAGAGGAAGATTTTGAAGACAGGAGTGGAGAAGGCACTGTGACCACAGAAGAGAGATTGGAGTGATGAGTCCACAAATCAAGAAACGCGGCAGCCAGAAGCTGGAAGAGGTGAGGAGCAGATTCTCCTCTAGAGCTTCCGAAGGGAGTTTGGCTTGATTTTGGCCCAGTGAAACTGATTTTGGATTTCTGGCCTCTAGAACTATGAGATAAGAAATTTCTGTTTTAAGACGCCAGTTTTTTGGTAATTTGTTTCAGCAGCCACAGGAAAGTAATACACCCATGATAAGCCATTTGGCATTTCTACCAAAAGATAAGTACTGTCATAGCTCATTTCTCAGTTTTGTCAAGTGTAGAAATAGTGGGGAGGAGACTTAGAGGAGCATATACTTTAAGCATACAGTGCCTGCTATGCAGGTAAACTATCAGAATTAGACAAGCCAATGCCAGCCGTATGGTGCTGAGAGTGATGGAGAGGGAACAGAAATGGATATCTAGGAACTGGTAGTTATTTGGAAACGCAAGCAGATCAGCGAAGTTGACCAGCAGGTTGTAAGGTCCTAACCACGGAGGTTCAGAGACAAATTCCAGATCCTTCTGCTGTGGGCAAATTCTAGTACTAGAGACTTAGACATAATGGAGCAAAAAAATAGAAAGAAAATAGGATATAGGGTATAGTGGGAAAGCCATATGTTCTTAAGTAAGAGAAAATTGAGGCTAAAACTGGCTCTACAACTTACTAAACATAAGACATTCAGTCATTGTGCTCAGATAAATGTCAATATTCTCAGTTTTAAATGGGATTATATCTACCATGTTGGATTGTTCTATGAAGATTAAATGAAATAGATATAATAGATTAAGTAAAGTATTTGGGTTATAGTAGATAAACACTTTTATGATATCAATTTTTTAAGAAGAGAAGCACAAATATAGGGGTGAAGTGATGATAAAGGTAGTTTAGTGTTGCATTACAGAATCTTGGAATGACAGATCTTAAATTTCTCCAGCCTATGATCAGATGAATACCAAGTGGTACCACATATAGGGAGAGAAATAATGCAGAAAGAAACCTGAAAGGGACTGTCACTTATCTTATCAGGAGTGATCAAGAGGACTAATTAGTTGATAGTTACTGTTTAAAATTCGCCAAGAATTCTTTTAAGAATTTCAAATATACATTTCATAACCATTTAATCTTTAAAACACCTCTATTATCCCCATTTTACAGATAAGGGAATAGAGTCAAGGAAAGACATTAACTTCTCCAAGATCACATGGGCGGTAGTTACTAGATTTGGATTCTAACCCTGATTGGTTAATTCAAGACCTTTCTAAAAGTAGGAGAAAACAATGGTGACAGCCTTCTTTGTCAAAATATACACTGTGCTCTTAGCTTATTTATGGAATAAGCATGTCTGAGGGTTTACCACGGGCCGGGGAAATGGTCTTTTTAACAGTCACGACTGGAACCTTTTATTTACCACTGATATCACCAGTCTGCATAATTTCTTACAACGAAGCATGCCCAGACTCTTGACTGCTGGAGGAGACTGACCAACGTTTCTTATCATTTAACTGTGGCTCTATGTTCCACAATGGGCATCCATTCATCTGAAATACTCAAGAGCTGGGATCTCTAAACTGCCTTATTTATTTCCATCTGGACAACGATTAGTTCTCATAGGTTAGACAGGAATACATTCTAAAATATTTGGCTTTAAATACAAGTGTATTCTGCAAGATCGTTTTGACCTATAAAACCTTTCATTAGGAACCATCACCCTGGGTGGTATCAGCATTATTCTTCAAGCCAACTTCTGCCAAAGCAAATTGCTCAGTCTCTATGACCCCTCCAGTGTGGTGAACTCATTCTGCCTGCTCACCAGGGGCCATTCATATCAACAACAATTTGGTGAACTGCATCCTAGTAATCCAGGAAAACTTAAATTATGGTTATAAGTTTCTTCTGAGCAAATGTAATGTTCCACTGTCTTACTATATTAATTCAATACAAGATCACAAGTATACACATTATTCTGATTGTATTTATAAAATGAATTACTACCTCTTTTACAGTGGTAAAAAACAAAGTTAATTCAAAGGTAAAGATTAACTAACGTGCCGGAGCTTATACCTTAAAAGCAAAATAAATACTCATTGCCAGGTTAAGAATTAAAGGGCTTACTCTTCAGTTCCATGAAACTGTTGCATTTTTCCCCAATTAAAAGCACCAAACAAAATAAACAGAAGGACAAAATAGGAATAAAAGTTATTTTAGCCTCAGGAACTAAAATCACTTAGATAATATGGATAACTATAAAAAGAACCTAATTTTCAATGGAAGAGAGTCACAATTGAAATTGATTGATTCTTTGCACTTTGAAAATGAATTAGTTGGCATATTTATGTGGAATTATTTTGGAAATGTATGTTCTCTAGGGTTACATATTCTTTGGTTTTCTGTATTTCAGTTGATGTGTAAATCATTTAGGTATAGACTTCCAGGCCTTTCCCAATGACTTCACACTCCTAAAACCTGTTAGAATATCATATGAATCCCTTGAAGGAGAAAAAAATAATAGAGACAATAGAATGTGATCTAGCTTCTATCATCACCAAATTTTTATCTCCCCACAAAACGCATCAGCTTCAGCATAATGGATCTTTCTAGACTCAGATATTAGCTGGCTTGTCTATAACCATCGCAGATGACTATTACCATGGATATATTGTACCTTTTCTTATAAAAGTTTCAAATGCTTTGATAACAATTTAAAGTCCTAACTATCTATCATGTTATAACCATAACTGATATGGAATGTGACATACAGAAAACATATATTTATCTGTATATATGAACAATTACCAAACCACATGTATTCTCACTGAACTACTTGGGTATAAAAAGCAGACATTATTTTACCTGGATGAGGAAACTAATCAGTAAAATGAAATCTTTTGTTCATATTCACACATAAAAATTGTGGGAAAAGGAAACTATTTCCGAAGACCATTTCAGTGTTGAACAGCTGAAGCTCCATTTTCTCTTTCTTGAGAAATATTCATTTTCCCAAAGTATATTTGGTCTATTCAGGAAATATATTCAGGTACTAATCTCTAGCCTAGCCTTTGAGAAATTTATTTTAAACTTCAGCCAAATTCACTGTTTTAATTATACAAGACTCACTAGTTTAATAAACCCACTCTACAGCCCACTGCTCAAAGTCTTTAACAGCAGGATTCTAATGGAGTCAGGTCCAAAATACAAATGGTGCCATCTGCACCACCACATCCACTCCAGCAGCACTGCTATTAAATTAATAGTACAGTCTGCATGATAAAACAGCAGAGACCCCAATGATGTGGAACCAGTTGGGTTTCTGTTTAACCTCCAGCAGATACAGACACATAGCCAGTTCAGTCATGGCTAGTTTAGTCAATCCAAGTGCTGTGTCCAATTTCCCTGACCAAAGGAATTAAGAACCAAAACAGGAAAGAGAACAGTAAGAAGACATCAGTTCCCTAAGTACATATATAAATAGGTTTCAACTGAGTAAGCTTCATTATCCCTGATTGTGTAAGGATTGGCTGACCAATCTGGAACAAATTCAAACATTAAGATTAAAGACATAATATCTGCAGAACGATTTGAGCTCTTCGCAAAAGGGGAGTATATGAAGTATATTAAAAAAGTGACATTAATATAGAGTCACATATTGGTATAATTTAAGGTTAATTAGAACTATTATTTGAAATTTTACTATGTTTTTGCAACTTTGATATTTACTGCTAGTAATTTTGCATTAGCTAGTTTTTGACATAATAAATATTAGACATTCAGTTTTTGTCCCAGGAAACTTCTTTCATTTTCTGTCTTTATCACACCAATATAGTGATTATGAGATTTTAATTTTTGCCATGGTTCGCCCAAAATCATGTGAGACTGACCTTTGGGGAAACCTGGGCTTATTTAGAAATATGTCCCTTTGAATGTTTTTGCTTCCTATAAGTTTCTCTAAAATTTTATGACTACATGGGCCACTTCTAGCAAAGTGATGATTGTAAGAGAGCAAGACAATGCTGGCCATTATTAATACGCGTTTAATGCAAGATTGCAGTTACTGGATTCAGTTCAGTTGAAAGGGATGTTAATCATCACGTCGTCAGTGCCCATCTACCCCTCGAGGCTGTGTAAGAAAGCTGTGGGGCCTGCAGTCTGCAGTGAGGCAATATGATGACTCTGCATTTATGCCAAAAGATTTTACAGGTATCGCATGGCATAAAAAATTCAAGGTTACAAAACGTTGAACTCTGATTTATTATAGTAACTTATTAAAAGAAGAAAAAATGTTTGCTAGTTAAGTCTAAAGATATGTTTGTGGTACCATCTTAGGAAGTAAAAACCAGTTGTAACTTAAAGATTGTCACGTATTTTAAAAGTTACTTTGATTCCAATCATTAAATATTATTTATATATTTATACCTGAAGTTAACTGAGAAACAAAGGTATTTATTTAAACACTATCAAAAATTAAAAGAAAACAACACTAAACATGAAAATTTCCTTTCTCTCATATAAATATACAAAATTTATATCCTAAATAAAAATAAGAATAAACACAAAATTAAACATTTACCTTTAGTTTGTATTTTTCTTTCAGGTTTCTCCTGCTTTTCAATCTTATCTTTGTGTATTTCTAGGGAAAAATAGAATTTATAATTTAAAAATTCTTTTTGAAATGTACAAAATGTAAACCATAGCTATGACCTAATCGTTACAATTCTAAAGTCTAAATTATTATAATTTATTATAATTCTAAAGTCTATAATTCTGAAGTCTAAATTATTATATCTAACAAACTAATAGGTGTCTAAAAGGAAAGAGTCGGGCCGGCCCCATGGCTTAGCGGTTAAGTGCGCGCGCTCCGCTGCTGGCGGCCTGGGTTCGGATCCCGGGCGCACACTAACACACCGCTTCTCCGGCCATGCTGAGGCCGCGTCCCACATACAGCAACTAGAAGGATGTGCAGCTATGACATACAACTATCTACTGGGGCTTTGGGGGGAAAAATAAATAAATAAAATCTTTAAAAGGAAACAGTCTTTTTAACATATTGCTACATAAATTACTCATTTATTGAAATAAGGAAAAATTGGAGTTACCTCAAAATTAGAGTTATTTGAAAAAGCTTAAAAACTTACATCAATGGAGATATGTTGTCACCATTTTCAGTGCTAAAATTGATCACAAACTGTAATTATGTTTTATTTCAATTACTCTCAATACAAACTAAGTATCCTTAGTAAAAATGTCATTTAGATTTAGGAAGATTTAGTTTTTACATATTAAATTAAGAATTTGTGAAATGAACTGTAATAACTATCTAATAGGAAATATATCTCAAACGTATTGACTCTAAGCTATGTTTATAATCAGAATTTGGTATTCCATTCAAACAATAATTACTGCATGAAGATATGACACATTTCATAGAATGTTAGTTGTTACATTTTTTATAAATATCAGGTTTTAACAAATATATTCAATTTGCTGCTAGCTTCAATACTTTGCCAAGGCTCAGAAAATGAAGTCAATTCTGAATTTGCAGTTAATTTGGATAGAAGTAAATTTGAGATTAGAGTTTACAAATATGATTACTACCTTTGAAAAGTGACTTAATCTTAAATACCATGGTTTTTCTCAGAAAAATGCTAATGAGGTTTACTTATTTATTTATTACAACTTTATTCCACAGATGGTCTGAGATGGTGCTAATTACTGTACACATTTTAGGTTCTCCATTTGTAAATTTGAATTTGCATTTTTGTAATTTTTCTAGAAGTCTAAAATCAAGACCAGCCATAGGAAAATCCTACATATTTTTAGAAAAGACAGTTACTGACTTTCATCCACCTGTTAAGAAAGTAATCACCACTGTGATGATGTCCTCCCCTGATTTTCTCTGTTAATCCATCATCATACTGTTTACAGGGCCACTCCTCTACCCTTATCCCATCCCTGACTTTGAATGTGACAATGGAGATACAAAAGAATTAAGATACTATCACGTGTCTAAAAAAAATTTTCCAAGGTGCAAGGAAAGATCTCCAAAGGGCATAGGAAACTTCCATCTTCCTGCCTCTCTCACCATTTTTTTAATCTCTTCCCTGTATGTCTCCAAATCCTACTCCAAATCAAGGTTTCTTCTCTTAGCTTTATTGACTTTTTGGGTTGGGTAAATCATTATCTGGACGTGGAGTTGGGCTATTCTGTGCACGCTATGGTATTTAGCAGCATACTTGGCCTCTGGCTATTAGATGCCCGTGGCTCCATCCCCCAGTCATGACTATGAAAAATGTCTTTAGACATTGCCACATGCCCCCTGTAGGGCAAAATGACCCCTTCTCCCAAGAACTTGTTCAGATGGCTCAGGACTGAATTTCTTTTGCTTATCCTGTGCTCTTAGGTTCTATAGTATTTCTACAATTATGTTACAAAAATAGTATTTCACTGGAATCTATCACATAGAGCTTGGAAAATTTTGACCAATTTTTTAAGAAATGTATCCTGTTTGCAAAGGCACAATAAAGTTGTATCTTACAGACTATAGGCAATAAAGCTAACAATAAACCTTATTTAACACACAGTCACACACACTAAAAGAACTTATATCTTTAGAACTGCTCTAAAGACGCAAAATAACCAGCCTAATCACTTTTTATCACCATCTAGACCTACACTGTCCAATGCAGTAACCGCTAAATACATATGCATATTAAAGACGTGATATGTGGTTAGTACAAATTAAGATGCGCTATAAGTACACACTGCATTATGAAGACTTAGTATAAAAAACAATGTAAAATATATCACTAATTATTTTATATTAGTTACATATTAGAATGATATTATTTTGGACATCTTGAGTGTGATGGTTTTATTTATGTGTCAACCTGGCTAGACTACGATCCCAAGTCATTCAAATGAACACTAATTTGGTAATTGTTGTGAAGGTAATTTGCAGATGCAATTAAAATCCCTAATCCACTGACTTTAAATAAGAAGATGATTCTGGATCATCTGGGTAGGCTTGTCTGATTCCATTGGAAGGCCTTAAAAACAGGCCTGAGGTTTCCTAGGAAAAGGGAAGAAATTCTGTCTGTGGACAACAGCTTTGGTCCCTGCCCTTCCTGACTGCCTGTCCTACAGGCTCCAACTTACTTAGCAGTCCCCACAATCACAAAGGCCAATTCCTTGTAATAAATTTCTTCATATATAAGTATAGCTGCATAATCTCCTACTTCTGCTTCTCTGGTTGAGCCCTGACTGATACTCTGATTGGGTTAAATAAGACATGTTATTAAAATTAATTTCATATTATTTCTACTTTTTTTAACATGGCTATTTGAAAATTTTTAATTACTTATGTGGTTCATATTATATCACTATTGGACAGCACTGGTCTAATCCTAAGAGTGGGCAAATAACCTTTTTAAAACATTAGGTCATCCACAGGGTTAAAACAAAAGTTTTAAGTTTTATAAGTGAATTCAGAAAACAAACTCCAGAAATTTTCCCCTGCCCATGCTGTCCTGCTTGCTCTCTCCCATTCAAACCAACAAAGGCTATGGAGCAGATTGGTGTCTTGTATAACTCAGGCCGATAAAGCAAGTAAAAATACAAGTAAAAAAGATATAAAGTGGTCTTTGGAAATGCTAAGAGAGTCACCTTTAAGAGAAGATTTCCTACTCCTAGCAGGGATTAATTTGAATACAGAAATGGGATGAAATTTTCTACATTCAAAAAGTACCTGAAATGCTATACTTATTGTGAGACGAGAAGGCCTTCAATATGTCAGTTAGAATAATATTTTTCCTTTAGAGGTAGATTGTGTGTGTGTGTGTGTTTGTATGTTTGTACTCCACAGATAGCTGTTGGCCACTCAGAATAAAAGAGAGATTCTGGAACTCACACAGAAGGATCAGACCTAAGTTAGATTCTTCTGCAGAATTAGGTGCTGAAGGCCATCCTGCCTGGGTAATCTTGTCAGAGCCTCCTAGCCTAACTTAATTTGGAGAAATATGCTGTTTGAACCGGGTGGTGGTTTGTGGGACTAGACAGTCTATCTTGGTCCCTGATAGGGTTTCCTGCCAGGTAGGTGGAAGCTTGCACATCAGAGAACAGATGAGAGAAGCAGTAGTGGGAGCCACCTTGAGCTCCTGAGCTCCAACTCTTGTGTATGCAGCAGCATCCCATCAAAATGGAATGAGCTCTAGATTGCAAGCAGAACTGCAATGAGCAGGGATCCACCCTGGAGGCAAAACAATAAAAATGAGAGAAGACAAATCTCAGAAAGATTGGGATCAAGAACACCACTCAGGAAAAGGCAGGAGGAAATGCAATTCTTCCGCCCTTTCCCAAATGCAGGGAAGGAAGGCAACCTTAAAGTGGAAGGTAAGTCCTGGCATGTTGGATACACTTTATAATAAGTGTTACTCAAGCAAAAATAAAAATAAATGACACTAAAGGAGAATTAGACTGAAGAAAATGGCAATATACTTCAGAGTATTTACTTTTTACTCTGTGGTAAATGGAGTAGACACAACCCAGTTCTGCAGCTCGGATTAATCTCGAGGATAAAACCTCGGTTTTTAGTTTTCCTGATTCTGCACTTCAGCCCTATACAAACTAAGATAGTCCCCCTGTTCCGGGCAGATCCACTCAGACTTTTTGTAAGTAGGGGTTACAGATTAAACATACACACACTAAAATCTCTACAGCTCACAATGAACAGAAATATGATGACTTACATCAGCATTTTTTTGCAGGAACACCGTCAGCTGATTTTTTTTAACTGATGGTCACTTGAAGACCGTTAGCCTGTCTACAGAGGCCACTGTGGACAAGCACGCCCACCCTCGTACAGGCATACACACGTTTACATTTCTTTGCTCATAGAAGACAAAAGAAATTTATTTCTGGGCATTCCAAGTTAAAAGATAAATTAAATGTCTCTCTGCATGTTTCATTGCAACATTGCATTTTCCTCGGGGATTGGATTCCATCACTAGTGTCACTGTCTGTGGCTATCAGATGTCTGAGGAATCCAGTAAAGCCTCTACACAGCATGCCAGTTCTGTCCGCTTACACTTTAGCTGGGAAATGATGACCATTTAGGCTCCTGTCCAACTGAGTAACAACATGCTATCAATTTAGACTGCAGAAAGATGTTTTTCTCGTAAGCAGATGATTTCTGATTTGTTACTCTCAATTGTTCTTGCCAGCTAAAAACCATTTGTATAAGAATGGAAAACTAAAGTCAGTAAAGTAGAAATTTATTGTCCTATGGTTTTCAGCAAACTGCAAGAAGAAAAATTAAATTTCCTATACTATATTAATATTAGCTTCTAGATACTTATTTCCGTAGATAGGTAGATATCTCCACTTTGTGTGAGATGACAATAAAGTATAATAGCATAAAATTGTATTTAACATCATGACTCTCTTTAAGAACAGTTCACTTAAAACTGAACCAATCCTGGATACAAGGGACAAAGAAGAATGTCAAAGCAGTCACTATTTACCTCCAAATATATGTGCTTTGCAATCAGGTTAGAGTCCTATGTCTCTGAAGACACTATACGTCTCAGCACCAGATGCTAGTTAGAATCATAAGCCATTTTGGTAACAGTAAAT